TGGGTTTAAGTTAGTATTTGTATCTGACAAATTTGTACTAACTAAAAATGGGATGTACGTTGGGAAAGGTTACATGTCCGATGGGATGTTCAAGATGAACGTCCTTACTATTGTACCTAAATTGAACAAGATGAATGAAGCTTCTACTTCTGCGTATATTGTTGATTCTTCTTGTTTATGGCATAAAAGATTAGGACACGCAAACTTTAAATCTGTTCGCAAATTAATGAAGTTAAATTTGCTACCTTCTCTGAGTTTCGATCCTAATCACAAATGTGAAACTTGTGTTGAGGCTAAATTAGCCAAAAGACCATTTCCTTCAGTTGATAGAAATACCTTACCTTTAGAATTAATTCACAGCGATATATGTGATTTGAAATTCGTACAAACTAAAGGTGGGAAAAAGTACTTCATCACTTTCATTGACGATTGCACTCGGTACTGTTATGTTTATCTATTAAAAAGCAAAGACGAGGCTTTGGAAATGTTTAAACATTTTAAGAATGAAGTTGAAAATCAACTTAGCAAAACAATAAAAATTGTTCGAAGTGATAGAGGTGGAGAATATGGAGCGCCGTTTGAAGAATTTTGTTCTCAACAAGGCATCATTCATCAAACAACGGCTCCTTACTCACCTCAATCCAATGGTATTGCGGAACGAAAGAACCGCACACTTAAGGAAATGATGAATGCTATGTTGATTAGTTCTGGCCTACCACAGAATTTGTGGGGGGAGGCTATCCTCTCGGCAAATCACATTCTTAATAAAATACCACACAAAGTAAAGGATGAAACACCTTACGAGTTATGGAAAGGTCATAAACCTTCATATAAATACTTAAAAGTGTGGGGGTGTTTGGCAAAGGTAGAAGTGCCAAAACCTAAACAAATAAAAATAGGACCAAAAACTGTAGATTGCATATTTATTGGATATGCTCATAACAGTAGTGCATATCGCTTTCTTGTGCATAAATCCGAGATTACGGATATACATGAAGATACAATAATTGAATCAAGGAATGCAAGTTTCTTTGAAGATGTCTTTCCTCGTAAAGACAAAAATGATGCAAGTTCAATGAAAAGAACTTACGATACTGCAAATGATGATGAAAATGAAGAAGAACTCAGACGCAGTAAAAGGGATAGGAAGTCTACGTCCTTCGGTTCAGAATTTATAACGTACATGATCGAAAATGAACCAAAGACATTCAGTAAAGCAATGTCAACATCAGAGGCTCCTTTTTGGAAAGAAGCTATCAATAGTGAAATTGAATCGATAATGCAAAATCATACTTGGGAGTTGGTTGATCTCCCACCTGGAAATAAACCTCTAGGTTGCAAGTGGATTTTCAAGAAAAAGTTAAAATCGGATGGATCTATTGATAAATACAAAGCTCGTTTGGTAGCAAAAGGATATAGACAAAAGGAAGGTCTTGATTTCTTTGACACTTACTCACCAGTAACGAGGATTACTTCGATAAGAATCCTTATTGCAATTGCTGCGCTACATAATCTCGAAATTCATCAAATGGATGTTAAAACAGCTTTTCTAAATGGTGAGTTAGAAGAAGAAATATACATGGAGCAACCTGAAGGATTTGTCGTTCATGGACAAGAGAAAAAGGTTTGCAGACTCGTTAAATCTTTATATGGACTAAAACAGGCGCAAAAGCAGTGGCACCAAAAGTTTGACAAAACAATGCTGTCAAATGGTTTTAAAATTAACGAGTGTGATAAATGTGTGTATAATAAGAGTACACCGACAGCATATGTCTTAGTATGTCTATATGTGGATGATATGCTAATCCTGGGTAGCAATCATGATATCATTGTCTCCACTAAGAAAATGCTAACAAAACATTTTGACATGAAGGACATGGGTGTAGCAGATGTAATTCTTGGAATTAAAATTTCTAAAACACCAGATGGCCTCGTTCTTTCACAATCTCATTATGTTGAGTCTGTACTAAAGAGATTTGGAGTCTTTGATGAAAGTCCAGTCAAAACTCCAGTAGACACAAGTCTACACTTAGCAAAAAATAGAAGTGAACCTGTACATCAATTAAGATATTCTCAGGTTATCGGAAGTCTGATGTACTTAATGAACTGCACACGTCCTGACATTGCATTCACAGTTAATAAATTGAGTAGGTTCACATGTAATCCAAGCAATGATCACTGGAAGGCATTGAATAGGGTACTTCGATACTTAAAACATACCTTAAAATTTGGATTACATTATATGAGATATCCAGCAGTATTAGAAGGATATTGTGATGCAAATTGGATATCTGATATGAAAGATTCCAAATCCACAAGTGGTTATATATTTACACTTGGTGGTGCGGCAGTGTCTTGGAAATCCTCAAAGCAAACCTGCATAGCTCGATCAACAATGGAATCGGAGTTTATTGCATTAGATAAAGCTAGAGAAGAAGCAGAATGGCTACGTAACTTCTTAGAGGATATCCCGTGTTGGCCTAAGCCGGTGCCTGCAATTAGTATTCACTGTGACAATCAGTCTGCTATTGCAAGGGCACAAAATTGCATGTATAATGGTAAGTCTAGACATATACGTCGTAGACACAATACCATAAAGCAGTTGATCTCAAATGGTATTATCTCCATTGATTATGTGAAATCAAAGGAGAATCTCGCGGATCCGCTCACAAAAGGTCTACCAAGAGATCAAGTATATTATCTATCAAAGGGAATGGGATTAAAGCCAAACACGCATGAATCTTAATGATGGTAACCCAACCTTGTTGACTGGAGATCCCAAGATCTTGGTTCAATGGGACAACTAAGTTATTAAGACTCAGTTAAGCACTTAACCATCCCTTTATAAAAAGTGCTGTCTGCAGAAAGTAAAAGGATAAGTTGTAACTTTTAATGATTCCTATAGCTTGGATAAACCAAGTGGGGTATAGCAGAATACTCTTAATAGGAGATCACCTATATAAGTGTGAAGTGGGGCCGCTTCTATGAGAATTTGGGGCTTGAAATTCTCTAAAGCACTTATGAATCCCAAGAATCGTTCAGGGCCAAAATGAACACAACTATGAGAACCTAAGAATTGTATAGAAAGGTTATTGTGTGGATACTGTTGCCTTGGTTTACACCAACGGCTGAACAGTTCAAGACATCAGTTCACTGATTAGCCAAGTAAACTCGATAGTATTCCACTAAGGCAGGTTCAAGGCCAAAAGCTACCTCTCCTGATGCAATAATCCTTTCGCATGTACTCTCTGTTCGTGTCTGCATTGCATAGTCATGATAATTTCCATTCATGTGGGGGATTGTTGGAAATGGTGGGTCTATTGGGTCAATTTTGACCACAATTTTAAGTGGGACCCGATGTTCGATGTATCAAGATTAATGTTCAATTAAATTCTACGTTCCGAGTAGATGAGTGTAGAATATATAATTGTGAAAACCCATTTCAATATGAATGAGAAATTATGGTTGAAAGTTGGATAATAAATAAGAGGATAAATGGGAAAGAATTGGAAAAATGTTCCAATCCCACATAGGTTGCAAACACAACCTTGAACCACTTAATAAGCTTCAAGTTTGGAAATGAGTTTGGACCCCAAGGGGTACCAATAGTCTTTGAAAGGGGGGAGTCTTAGACAATGTCTAGAAATTAATTCAATTTTTTTATTTATTTTCGGTTTAAAAAAAAAATTGAATTTAATTTTTTCCCTCCCTTTGACAGTTTACAAACCGACCCATCAGTTCGAAGAAACTGTGCATTAAGTGGCGTGAGGGAAACTGCCCAAAACCGTCAACTTTCTTCCTCTATTTGAATAGTCCTCATACAACACAAGTATACACACGATTTCCTGCATACATACATTATACATCTCTTCTTCCTTGCATCAGTCTGCAGAGAGTAGTTTCATTCTTTCTGGTTCGTTGTCTTGCAGTCGAAGTGCTGCTTCTGCAAGTGTGATCGTTGTATCTTGGGAGACGCTTTACCACATACCGTAAGCACCGTGTGACGGGGTAAAAACGTCTTAAGGACAGAGAGCCTAGTTCTCGCCTCGATCATCCCCTTTCCGAATTTTGGACTTCTTTCTTTCCATAATTTTTCGAACATAATTTTCTGCTTTACTGTTTCTGCAAATTATTTACTGCTTTACTGTTTCTGCAAATTATTTTCTGCAAATTATTTTCTGCTTTACTGTTTCTGCAAATTATTTTCTGCTTTACTGTTTCTGCAAATCATTCATGGAAAATCTGTTTCATACAAACTTTTAAAATTTTAACCAACAGTTTCATCAGATGGGGCTTGCGAAGAGTAATGGAGATGCGTCTTCTATGTCACTGGTACCGAATATGTTTAATGGTGGTTTAAGGGGTAGGAGAACTGGTGCTATGAATAAAGTTGTAGAAAGGCGGCAGAAGAGAATGATCAAGAACAGAGAGTCAGCAGCAAGATCGCGGGCTTGAAAGCAGGTAAATATCTCAATGTATTTGTACAAGAAGTAGGTTTATATTTTCAAATTGTCAATATGATGCAGTTATGGCTTGTACATGCTTATTTTGATGACACAGGTCGAAATAGTAGTTTTAAGAATTCCGAATATGAGATTTAACAGAAAATGTAATGGAAAGCTCCGAAAATCCATTCTAAGCAATTTGTTGTCTCTCTGGTTATGCAGGATTACCAGACAACTATTGACTGTACAATTCTGAGTTTTCCTTCTAGGAGTGCATCTTACCTTTTCTTTTTCCCCATTTCTCTTGACAGGTAGATAGACGTGGAATTAGGCAAAGGTTTGGTAATAGTTTTCCTGGAGCTACCAGAAGCAGAAAAATGAGCTGGTTCAATTTGTTGTTTCCTTGAAACTTAGAATACAAAATGGACATGTTCAAGAATGCTATTCACTAAGGTAGAGATAAATCTAATTGCAGAGAGAAAGATAATAAAATAAGTAAATAGCTAGGTTAAGAGAATAATTTTCATTTACTTGTCCCTTTTCAGATTATGATGATCATTGACATTCTGCTTTTATCATGTTGCATCCCTCGAACTTTACAAAAGAATGGATATCTTATGCTTCAGAATGGTAATGTGATAGAGATCTAGTGTGACAAGATGTGAATACATGTCTTGAGAAGTTTAAAGCTTCCATTTGCTACGAGGTAATGTAGTATGTGCTTTAAGAGAGTAACAATTTGTTTTACTCCTGCAATTTTTGCACAAATTTAACAAGCTTCCCAACCGTAAATTTATATTCATTAGTCAAATTTGATAATGTTGAAAGCACATATTTAACTTCCATTAAACCATTTTCGTTTTGGCATTTTCGAGGCATACACTACGGAGTTGGAAGAAGAAGTTGCAAAACTGAAGGAAGAAAACCAAGAATTGCGAATGAAACTGGTAAGCGTTAATGTGATTTCTCTCCATATCCACTTCCGTATCTTCGTGTTCTTCTTAAATAATATAAAACCTGATTTACACAAATATTTGCTGGTCTTCTATTCTGCTGACAGAAATGAAGGAAATGCAGAGGAACCAGGTACCTCTATCACCCTCAATCTTTCCCTCAAGAAAAAACATTTTTCATGGTATTTTATTAAGCATTTCCAATTGTTTATTTTCAATATTGGATTAAGATAGAACTCATTGGTTTTACTTATATGTTATATATCCTCTCTCTTGTGATTATCATAAAGAGCATGTTTGGCTTAGCCTAAGGAAACATAAAAGCTACTTTAAGTAACTTAATTAACGAAGGTGTTTGGATATGTTACTTTTTTCTTAGTTCTATGCAAAAGTTACTTATTTTGGAAGTAAACTGTTTTAAATGTGACCAATAAAAGGAATTATTTATTTGAAAACTTATTTACTTACAAGAATACATTTTTAATCTTACCCAAAAATTCTCATAGTAAAGGCAAAGTTCTTAATTTTTTTCGTGTTATAACATGAATCATTGTGTTTACGGTGCAGAAAGCCATTTCTCCTATAACGCAGCAGAAGCAGAAAACAGCGATCACAAAAATGCCAGTAGAAATCTGCATTCCTGGAAAGAAAACTCCAAGAGGACTTTGTTATTGTAAACTTTACTAATACTAAATAGGCAAATAGGGGCAAGAGAACTTAACAAGCAACCTCATTTCTCCATTTATAATTATAATTAGTATTATTATTTTGCATTCCGACTCATTCAGAATTTTCTCTCAAACTACATGTGCAGACTTGCAGAAATTAAGTCGGGAATTTTTGAAGTGTCCAACTAATTAATGAATTAGTTTCCTTGATCTTCGATCATTCCATCTTTTTAAACTGTTATTTTCCTCTTGTTTCTTACCTTGGGCATCAATCGTAATAGACTGTTGAAGCATTCTTCACATTTATGCTAATTTTCGCCATATCATGCCTTTTGCTGCTTCTGATGAATGCTATTTCTGGTAAACGGTTGAAGTTGCAGGAAGATGTACTTCTACTTAACCTTTTACCCTTATGTCTTTCAATCCCAATTAATTATGTTTCTCTTGTTTATGCATCATTGGCCTTGATCTCACATCGTCCTGATTATAGATGAATCATCATTTCATCTCGGGGAATATTCATCATACTTCTGCTTAACATACAAAAACCACATTTTCAATAAGAGTAACATGTATAAATGCTCATATTCTAATTTCTAGTATCATGCAATCATTATTAGATCCTCTGAATGGAAGTATTCTTGGTCTGGTTGCAGTACAGTTGACTATTTCTTTATTGATTGAAAGGAGGAACACTTTTTTCGTTCTCTGCTCGACTCCAGGGACAACCATTTTACAAAAGTTTATGCTGAAAGACATGGTTGTGGTTGTTTTTATAGTTTTGACTTAACATGATAGGTACAAATGCATAACGGAAATACATTATGCCACCTCTGATAGATTACATTGAATTTCACTATCAATGGGGCTTAACATGGTGAAGCTAAGGGATTACTAAGTTTTTCCGCATGGCCTGTTTTAGAATTTAAGCTGCCTTTTGCCTCAGATTATCATAAAATGATCCATAAAATCGAAACCCTGGTCAGGCAATGTATGTGCAGGTAGTTGCGAACGTATGTTCGTGTGTGCACGACTGAGGAGAAAACAAGTTGTCATTAGTTACATTTGATGATGGCAGGTCTTGGATAAGAATGATTAAAATCCGCCTTAATTTCAGTGGTGTATCGTATTGCATTATATAGAGCTTTACAAGATAGTATAAATGGAATACAAATCAATAATTTACAATGAAATGGAAACCGTGTAAATTAGCCTCCTTCAATTACGTGATTGGCATTGGCACTATCAATGGGGCTTAACATGGTGAAGCTAAGGGATTACTAAGTTTTTCCGCATGCCCTGTTTTAGAATTTAAGCTGCCTTTTGCCTCAGATTATCATAAAATGATCCATAAAATCGAAACCCTGGTCAGGCAATGTATGTGCAGGTAGTTGCGAACGTATGTTCGTGTGTGCACGACTGCGGAGAAAACAAGTTGTCATTAGTTACATTTGATGATAAAGCGAGGATCAATATATCCTAGAGGCTGTTCCATATAAATTTGATCAGTAAGAGTACCATTGAGGAATGCATTTTTGACATCAAGTTGATGAAGGGGCAATTTTTGTGTAAAAGCGAGAGAGAGTACAACCCGAACAGTAGTAGCCTTAATTACGAGACTAAAAGTATCAGTATAGTCAAGACCAGGGACCTGTGTATAACCTTTGGCAACAAGGTGGGCTTTAAGGCACTCAACAGATCCATCAGGTAAGTATTTGGTTCGGAATACCCATTTGGAGCCCACAATGTTGGTGTTGGCAGGGCGAGGTACCAAAACCCAGGTGCGATTATTCTGTAATGCATGAATTTCTTCATTTTTAACAGCAGGCCAAGCAGGATTTTTAACAGCAGATTTGAAACCTTTGGGCTCAGTCGATGCAAAAAGATTAGAAAGAAGACCAGAAGAGCCCAAGAAACTAAGATTGGCTGGATATCGAGTCTTGAAAATGCCAGCTTTAGCGCTTGTAAGCATAGGATGAGTGGCCAACGGGACCACTGCAGTAGGTGTGGGATCTGCACCAGGTTCAAGAGGAGATGAACTTGGAACCGAGGTCTGTAAAGAGGCACCTGCAAGAGAATGAGGATCCTGCAAAGACTCAATCACTGGATCAGTACACATAATACATGGATTAGAACTGGATTGAGTGAGTTGTGAAGAATGAGTGTCAGGGAGTGGGGGAGGTGGATCTGCATGGGTTAGGCTAGGTTCTAGAAAATTGGAAAAGTTAAGGGAGGATATGGGTTGAGCTTGAGAGGTAGCAATGGAAGGAAAATGAGTTTCATCAAATTGAGCATGGCGAGTAATATAGAGCCTAGAGGTGGAAGGCTCGAGGCAACGAAACCCTTTGTGAGAAGGACTGTAACCTAAGAAAATACATGAGATGCTATGAGGAGAAAATTTGTTAGGCATATAATCTCGTAAGCAAGGATACACACGACAACCAAAAGGGTGAAAGTTTTCATAGTTCGGAGGGTTACCATACAAAATCTCAAAAGGTGATTTACCTCCAAGAATGCCACTACAGCGGAGATGATCTTGGAAGAAATTACTGGTAAATTCACCACCACCGTCACTTTGGAAAATTTTAATTCGAGTGGAGTATTGATTTTCCACAAATTTTTGAAATTGAATAAAAACATTATAAAAGTCAGATTTCAGAGCCACGTGAAACGAGAATAATCATCGATAAAAATGACATAATAGACAAATCCTAAATTAGATTTGACTGGAGACGGACCCAAAATGTCGCAATGGATAAGATCAAGTGTTTTCGATGACCTATGTTCATTTCGAGAATAAGGCAAGCGATGACTTTTAGCAATTTGACATGTGCCACATAAAGTTGGAGAAGGCAACAAAGATGTAAGATAAAGCTGGCCTTTTTTATTAATAGAGAAATAACAGAATGACTGACATGTCCAAATCATGCATGCCATAAATCATAGGACGCACGAAGCGATTTATTTTTAAGAACAGATATAAAAGTAGAATGACTTCGCTCAAGCACATATAAGCCTCCATCACGCTTGCCGGTTGCCACCACCCTTCCTGTTTTGAGATTCTGTACAGTGAATATGTTATTAGTAAAGGTAACGGATAAAGGAAAATCTGATGTTAATTTACTGATGGAAAGTAAATTCCTGGTAAGGCGAGGTACAGCTAGGACATCAAGAAGATGTAGATTTGGGGTAGGGAAAATTTTACCAGTATGGGTAATGGGTAGTGAGGCACCATTCCCAACAACCACACAATCCTCACCCATGTAATTTGGGGCCTGATCCAATTTAGAGTGATCCATGGTCATATGGGCTGAAGCCCCTGTATCCAAATACCAGTCAGAGCCCACATCTTCATTTAGAGAACAAGATCTCATGAAGGCTTCAGCAAGGTGAACTGGTGTCTCATTCCGATCATAGCGTTGAAGGCGCCGATCGGCAAAGTGGCCATCCATCTTGCAAATCTGGCATCTTGGTGGACAACGCCATTGGCTGTAGTTGGAGCGTCCTTGTCCACGACCAGATGAACTGCTGCCACACCCACCGAAGCGACCCCGATGACTACGAGAAGAGCCACCACGATGGGTGGAATTTTTTGTGACAGTAAAGGCTGTCGCTGCTGGAGAAGATAAGTCAAGGGATTTCTGAAAAATTTCAAAACTTTCAGCCTTTGAGACTAAATCTGCAAATGAGGGCAAAGAAGTTTGGGTCATTTGTGCTGTGGAGAAACTAGAGAAATCAGTACCGAGCCCGCGGAGAAACCAGTGCACCTTGTCATTACCATGAACTGGACAACCAATTGCATGTAGTTGATCACATATTACTTTGAAGGAACGGGCATACTCAACAACCGATCTATTGCCGCGTTTCATTAATTGCAAGTCATCCTTAAGGCGTAGTTCTCGAGCTTTAGAACGATAGTCATCCTTAAGGCGTAGTTCTCGAGCTTTAGAACGATGGCTAAATGCATTTTCTAGTGCCAACCACACGTCTCGTGCGGTGGAGAGGCCAACTACCTCAGCCATGGCTTCCTTTGTGAATGAGGAAAGTAACAAACTGAGGAGACGCCGATCAATAGCTTTCCATGCTAGGTATTTGTCACTTGGCGTGAGAGAAGTGGTAGCGTCAAGTTTTGGGGGCTGCACAAGGGTGCCATCAACATGTCCTAATAATTCTTGACTTTCAAGAAGAGGGAGGAGTTGGGCTTTCCAGAGAAGATAATTTGAGGAGGAAAGTTTAATGGTGATCATGTGGATTAAGGTATTGAAAGGAAGAAGGGTGGCAGAAGTTTCAGAAGCCATGAAGGGAAGAATAAGAAGAACAGGATATGTGGTATGTATGTTAAACCACTTAGCTCTGATACCATAAGAATGATTAAAATCCACCTTAATTTCAGTGGTGTATCGTATTGCATTATATAGAGCTTTACAAGATAGTATAAATGGAATACAAATCAATAATTTACAATGAAATGGAAACCATGTAAATGAGCCTCCTTCAATTATGTGATTGGCATTGGCATGCTATGGGTAGATTGTGATTGAGGAGTAATATCCTTAATCATAGTATTATTTCCAACACTGGAGATGATGAACCAACTGCACAAAAGTAAAAGACAGTGCTTGAGATGGACTCAGATAGGTGACTGTGATTCATTTACAATGCGAGCAGGTGATTATAGATATCTAATAGACACCCTTCTGTAGATAGGAAGTCACACGAATATTGATTTGCTTTTAGTTAGTGCTTCTGAATACTATTCTCTTTTTTGTATTTTACATACAAATAAAGACGATCCTTGTGAATTTTTGTTGAGTAGGGTCATTTAGATACATTTCCACTATACTTTATTGTAGTTTCGGCTAGCTGAGAGCGTCAAGAATCCTTTGGCCCCTAAAATAATATGGGATAACATACACAAGTATGTCTCTATCAGTTGAATGTTTGATGGGTAACTAGAAATATCGTAAAAAAAAAAAAAAAAAATAATAATAATAATAATAATAATAATAATAATAATAATAAATAAATAAATAAATAATAATATTAAACCTAAAATTTCCATGTCTTTCTTGGTTGGACCAAGGTGATTTCCATCAAGTCTCTCTTTTTTGGGAGTAGGAGAGCAGGGTTCCAAATATAATTTAAATGATTCAAGTTCATATTTACAAACGTGTTTGTAAAGAACCAAATATCAAGGTTCATGATAAAAC